ATGCATACATGCATACATACACACATGCTTTGTTGTTCAATGTTGGAGGTTCTACCGCAGCAGTGACGGGGAACCGAAGACTATCCTAAAGTCCATGAAGCTAAGAATCTGATCTGAAGCCCCGAGTAGAAGGTAACGTAGGGGCCCTAATAATTCGAATCGGGTTTTGGGGGCTCCTTATTATCATTATAGTATATAATGGGCCCGAAACCCTATTCTAATCATTAAGGCCCCTATAAGGCCCCTATATGACTATACGGTACGGTGGGAGTCCAAGTGCGCGACGCCAGAGGCAAAAGGATCCAAGGTCCCGCCATGGCCCACCTGAACATGTCGTCAAAAAGTGTGGTGTGTTGAAGTTTAGGGTTTAGGGTTTTGGCTTAGGTAGCGTTGGAATTAGGGTTCAGGGTTTAGGGGGCCTTAGGGTTTAGGGTTTAGGGAGCTTTAGACATTTAGGGGCTGAAGGCTGAAGGTTGTTTGGGCTTTGTATGCTGCGGCTGCAACTACTGCAACGACTACCACGACGACGACGACGACTACGACTACTGCGGCTACTCCTGCTGCTGGTGCCGCTATTGTATCTCGTTGTAGCTGCTTCTGCTGCAGCAGCTGCTGCTGTTGCTGCTGCCGCGCAGGCCCCGTGAGTCGTTCGCCAAACCAAATCCGACAGATGCACAAGTCAATTGATGATGCAAAGATCGGAGACACAACACCAGGCGCCACAGGTGGGCCATAAAGCACAGCACGGACACCAATGCCTGCCCTAGGAACAGGCAACCCCGATACTCTATTCTCTAAACCAAATTCCTAAACCCAGCTGGAGGAGCACAGGGCGCGCCGGGCTTTAAGCTGTGTCAAACCGGCTTCAAAAAGAGATAGGATTTCAGCTTGCCCCTCGCGGAGTCTCAACAGCTCAACCCCACACGTGCAAACCGAAAACCCCGAGCGCCTGGACCGCAAGCTGGGCTTAGGCGGCCCCCAACTGAACGACCTTAGATCGAACTCTTCTGAAGACAAACCACTCCTGACCTTCGTCGCAGCGCCTCCCAGACGACTCATGACCTCAGCAAGTGGTGGGTCAGGGGTGGGTCAAGAGCTGAAGAAACAGCGGTAGCCGATGCACTGAAGCAGTGGCAGCAGCGGTAGCAGCAGCAGCAGTATCAGTAGCAGCTGCAGCAGCAGGAAGAGCAGGAGCGGGTGCGGGTGCAGGCGCAGGAGGAGCAGGAGACGGAGCTGTGGCAGCGGTAGCAGTAGCAGCGGCAGCAGCAGTAGCTGTAGCAGGAGCAGGAGCAGCAGCAGCAGTAGCAGCAGCAGCAGCAGTAGCAGGAGCAGTACTACCAGTAGTAATCGTCGTCGTAGCAGAGTAGTCGTAGAAGTAGTCGTCGTAGCAGCAGCCGTAGCAGTAGCAGTATCAGTAGCAGTACGTAGGAGCAGCAGTACGTAGTCGTAGCAGTCGAAGTAGCCGCAGTAGTAGTCTCCGTCGTAGTTGTAATTGTAGTGGCAAATTCGCCCGTTGGATGCGAAGGCGTTGTCGTAGCCAGTCGTCGTTGTCGCGGTCGTCGTCGTCTTGTTGTCAGTAGTGGTTGTTGTTCTTCTTGGCATTTTCTAGGAAGCAGCAGCACATGTGGTAGCAAAGCAACAGTGATACCATTACTACCAGACCCTAAATGCAGGAAGCAGCAGTGTCGTTTCAGTGAACTCCTGCCTGCCCGTGGCCAATTTAATGGCTTGGAAACCAATCAGATGTGACAGTGTTGGAAAATAGGGGTATATACCTTATTTCGCGGTCCTTATAATAAGGATCCTGCTATTTAGGGTCCCCTAGTTTCGGAAAGCCCCATGTGGACCCTGGACACCTGACCCTAGACTTGGCCCATGGCTGCCTCAAGGACAAGCGCCACGACATCCTGTCATGCACTACGCTGTTGCAGTTACTTCAGGTGTTGACGAGTGTGGCTTTGAGATGTGATATACGGTTTGCGCAGTAGAGGCATCCCTCAAGAAACTTCGGGATCTTAAAACATATGTATTTGCTGGGCATGAGGTTTTAACCTCTTACTTTGAAGCTTCGGGTAGTTCAGAGTTTGCTAAAATTTCTTGGGCCGGCTTAGCCTGGAAATTTCCTCCAGACTAGACTTAAAAAGGCCTTTACCGGGACCCTAATGTCAAGCCCTCCACCAAGAAACCCCTAGAATCCTAAACCACAGAGCTTAGCTGCAAAGGCAGATTTTTGTCCGTGCCCCGCCCTTTAAACATTCTAAAGCGCTTTTGCTCATGCTTCTGCCGGAAGTCCAGCATGCGAAAACAGGCCGGAAAAACTGCGGAAGTAGGGCCTGGACCAGGCATGGGCTATCTGTTTAGGGCTTTTGTGGTGTAGGGTTATCTGTGACTTGAGATGAGCTTGCTTTCGCATCTCTGTCTCTAGATGATATAGCGGCCTGAATTTGTAAACTTATAGCAAGGAACCCGAAGAATAATATTGGTGCCTGCTTTCTGGTGCCTGCTTTCAGGAATGGGCGCCTGCTCCGGATGATCGAGAAGCCGACGAGAAGTTCAGTGAGGGTTTTGTCAGATCCAGGATCTAGGGATGACAGTCTTAGGGTGTTTAGGCATTGTATTGCGGTCCAGGTCAGGTCGGCTTCCTGCATGTCTACGCTTTACGCTCTCACAACTCGGACATGCCAGGCGAGGTTGAAAAGGTCTGGGGTCGGTGTGATACTATCGCAGGAAGTCCGTGGGTTTAGGTTCTAGCCATAGGCCTCATAGTAGTTCCTTTTTGGGGTTACCTTATAGGATTCAAAAAAATATGAACCCCAAAAAGGAACTACTGTGGGGCCTATGGGTAGCCAAGATCCTGCGCACAAGGAATCTATCGACCTCGGGTTGGTAAGAAGGTTTCAGGGCGCTTCGGGCTTGTGCAGCCGCCTGAGCCAAACCCGACCCCAATCCCCAACTCGAAAACCCATAAAGCCCGGCCTGAAACCCTAAAGTTGAAGCTTCTTTGAGTTAGGGGTCCATGCTCCAAAGGCCCTTGTGTATTAAAAAGCCGTCCGGTCGAAATTAGGGTTCTCTGTCCTCTGAAACCCCGAGGCCGAAGAAGCAACGGCATTCTGCTGTCATGGGCCTTCCGGCTTGTCCACCTGAATCAGCGGGGGCTCGCTCTGAATCTCTCGAGGCCTACGTTCCCGAGACTTGCTGTCCATCTAACTGCGAGTGCGGGGGTCTGTGTGGGTGCATGCATGTGTACACATGTATATGTATACCCCAAGCCAAACCCCTGGAAACCCGAAACTGAACCCAAAATATGCTTATAGAAATAGACATGTATAGACCCTAAGCCCAAAACCCTAAAGCCCTAAACCCAAAATATGCCTATATGGACATGTATATACCCTAAGCCCAAAACCCTAAAACCCTAAAACCAAAATATGCTCACAATATCCTTCATCAGGTCATACGACCCATATCTGCTCACAATATAGACATGAACTCAGGACCTGCTCCTGACCCTACTTGCAAAGCTCCACAGCCCTGCTCCCCTCAACCTCCCAGCCACTGAAACCTGGCACTGCCACTGCTCTTCCTCAGGGTTCCTTAGGGTTTACGGTTTCGGGTTTAGCTTCTTCTAGGCAGTATTACGTTTAAGATGTAGCAGAATCTTAGTTGTAGCATAATGTCAGGGATAATGCTAACATACTCCAAAGCCACGGTGTGCAGCCACCGGCTTCAAACACAGGCCAAAGTGTTTAGACTCGGGTTGTCTGCAGGCTTATATGGACACGTTGATTCTACCGGGCAGGCAAATATTCTAGGCTTCGGGTTCAAAGCTTGCAAGGAGCCAAGTATTATATAGGACTCAAAACGGAGCACCGCGGGGTGCAAGCAGCAAGCTGCGTTCGTATCCACATGCTGCGTTCGTGTCGAATGCTTCTTGGCCCTACGACAACGACAACGAAAGCCAACTATGGCAAGGAGCCTAACAAGGACCAAAGCTCCTGGCAGGGGTACTTGGACACTAAACCCCCGCTCGCGTCCAGGCCTTCGAACCCTACACCCCAAAACCATAAAAACCCTAAACCCAAGGAGTGAACCTACTACCGACTGCTACACAAAAACCCAAAGAAGGCTGGGAGGCCCGGCTGCGAAGACTCCTCCTCTGGCCTCGGATAAACACTTCGGTTTAGGGTTTAGGGAACACATCGTCCTCTAAGGACCTAAAAAGGAGTCGATCAGGGTGTTTGAACCTACAAGGGCTCATGAAGTAAGACTTTTGAGGCTATATGAGTTCTTTGAGCTTGTCAACAGACTTCATTAAACGACTTCAGTCCTACTTCCAGAGATCCATAGGGGCGCTATACTGGTTCTAGAGAAGCGTTAGAGGGGGGGTTAGAGGGGGGGTTAAGGGACGCTTCGGGATTTGAGGGACTTCGCAAGCAGGGTTGTTTGCGCCGGAATTGGGGGTTGGACTTCATTAAACCTATCGTCACTATAGTTACCTACCCGAAGCCCTAAACCTTAAACCCTGGTTACGTAAGTCTCCTGTAAGTAAGAGATCCGGAACCCCCCTGCACGAGGGATTGTTGCAGGATCAGGGGCTCAGGGCTGCAAGTAAGCTGTCGAAGTATGGCTCATGTGGATTGTTGGGAGGGGTGGGGTAGGGGGCAGGGGGGTCCCTTAGCTAAGTGTCCTTATGACCGGAGTGAATCGAAATGTAGATGGGTAGTTCTCTAAATTAGGGTCCCCTTTTTGGTCCCCAGTATAGTACGGCACCCCCCAAAAAGGACCCTACTTTAGAGAACTACCCATTTGGCTTTATAGTAACCCCCAAAAAGTTGAAAACCGGATTTAGGACAATTCGTGCCGGGATTCCTTATATCTGACTCTTAAGGATTCAGGCTACTGGGTTTCCAACTTTTCGGCTTCTACTGTAGGGTGAGAGAATCAACCGAAGGGCGAAGTCTAAGTCCGACAGGAAGGAGACTGGAAGGGTTATGAGTACGGCTTCTGGGTGTGGAGCTCTCCCCGGGGCGTGAAAATAAATAAATAAATATATACATATATATATATATATATGTATATATATATATATAAGGGCTCAGATCGCCGGAATAGCCCGGAAAACTGTAGTGCCCCAGGCAGGTAATATCCTGCCGCTTTTTGTGCAGCCATCGGGCTGTACTCGCCATCCTGGCACCGCCGACTTCGAGCTCGGCGCTCGAAGGCCAGGACTGCTCTCCGAAGAGGCCACCCGCTGTCAGCTTTGCAGCAGACGAGACTGCTGCAGCACCACGGCACCGGAGTGCCACTACGCACGCGACGGCATATGGGAAAGCAAGGATGGAACCCACGAGGCGGCAATGGTGGAAACAGTGGACAGTATCAGCAGCGATACTGGCGTGGAGCGTGGCCCAGGCCACAAGCTGCCATGAACAACTTCCCGGCCTACGACAGCCGGCGTGGATTGACAGACTGGGAGCAACCCCAGACGGAGCGCGGCAACCAGGGTGGAGACACCTCCTTGGTAGGCCTGATCCAAACTGCACTCAACCACACGAGGCGAGCAGAGCAGAAAGTCTTGACAGTCGAGAAGAAGAGAGCCGATCGAGATGCTCTGTGGCAGCGATACGAGATGGATATGAAAGTTGCCTATGCCAAGGAGTACGCGAGATACAAGAAGGATGCAGAACGGCTCGACGACGAACTACAAAAGGCGCTGCAAGAGCAGGATACCACTCGGCATACACTCCTTCAGGTGCATGCACATGGAGCTCCGAAAGAACCCACCAGAGAAGAAGCCAGGGTGGATCAGATGTTCGCAGAGTGGAGGCAGCAAGAAAGCCAGGACGCCAACGAAGTGCTACAAAGAGCCATAGCAGCGACAGGCCTTGGACGGACTCCTGGTCCTGCTGTTGCAAGGCCTGCGTTGGCCGAACCCCCAATGGCAGGTCCTCCTCCGGGCTTCGAGCGAGCAATGGACGTGGACCTTACAGGGACGCATGTTGTGCTTCCAGACAAGCCTCCACCAACATGGGAACAACTGCCGCAAAGTATGACGAGCA